GTCTTACACTGCTAAATTAGGGACGGCTAGCGCAGATAGCCCTCGTGTAGCTTTGTGCAAAATTCAAACAAACAAACAAACTCCTATTGAACTACAACCAAGTGCTTATTTTCATTTTTAGTTTGAATTTTGTTTTTTTACTGATGCACAAAGTTTTATTTTTGTATCTATCATATTTTAAATTAGATTTATTGATTTCAAATGTTTATAAATTATAAAAACACATATGATTTTGTAATATTTTCGTCTTGGAAGTTAATTGGTTATAGCTAGAATGATCAAACTACTTAAATTTTTCATCATTATTGTCTTTTTATCTGTATTTTAACTTCCAACATGTTCTTAACCATTAAGAAAACAGTTTAGCTGATTGGTCAAAATGAGCCAATTTATCTAAAAACATAACTATGCATTTAATATTTTATTTTAGTTTTTTCATTATTCTGTATTCATAATTTCTTTCTTAAGTCTTTAGAAATATTTTGTTTAAATAGGCACGAATCAAAGCAAAGCCAGTAACAAGTGCTCCTTTCATTATTCGCTCTAAAAATGGATATGGCCAGTGTGTTGATGGTAATATGAATGAACAGTTATTGACTGCCCAAGTTCAGCAACATCAGGAATCACACCTACAGCGATATGCTTATACAAATCCAGGAAGTCTTTCCTATGATAATCAAGTGAGTTCAACATTTATACATGTAATGTTTATTTATACTTAAATCTTTCTTTGTGAATAAGTGTATCTTAGAGTAAAATAAATGAATATTTGAGAAAAATCTGTTGGCACTTGTTATACTTACTAAATATTCTTCAATATTTTGATTTAATTCTCTCTAATAGAACGTTATACTAATTTAATGTGTAAAAAAAATAATAATATTGAAACAGATTTTCAGCTATAGCCAAAATAAGTATGATCCTAGGCTCTCCTTAGCTGTGGTGGAAGGCCAATGTTCCAAAATTTTTCTTCATACCTATCTGTTCTGAGTAGGTATCTCTTGAGATTAATCTTGCAAGTGGTTTGTGCTAGGCAGTTCATGTGAGTGGACAGAAATGTTGTTAACACCAAATAACTTGGTGTTCATTGGTCAGATCATAATTATTAAGGATTTCTGGTGAGCTGGTGAAACTTAGAATTAAGATATATTCTAAATATAGCAATGTTTCTTTCTCTCCGAGATGAAGAAAATAATTGTCAAACCATAAATTTGTGACACTGTTTTTGTTTAATATTTTTCAATTGTTTCCAATTTCATTTAATCTAGCAAATACAGAAAATATTATGATCTTCATTAGCATACCTGTAGGCTATATTGACAGTGAACATTAGTTGGTTTTAAAGATCATCAAATGATTCAAGCCTCCATCCATTCTTTTTACAGAAATTAATAACTGTATTCTTAATGTTGTATAATCAGGCATGGGCCTAGTGTAGGGGTCCAGGGGGTGGCAAACTCGCACAAATTTTTTCATAAATTAATTATTATTATATGTTGTATAAGCAGGCATGGATTTAAGTGAGGGTGGTCAAAGGGGATCAAAATTCCAACCCTCCATCTATTTTTTGTTCATAAATTAAATGTATTATTTAATGTTGTACAAGTATGCATAAATCTAGGGGGGGGGGTGTCTAAAATCCCTCCATTAATTAATAAAACATCCATATAGTACCAAAAAGAAAATAGGTCTGTTATTATTTGACTGAACTAATAATTACCATAAAAAATGTTCAGTTTTTCCAACACAGCTGGAGTTTACAGCAACCTTGTTACAGCCTCAGCCAATAACTGATTATTTCTAAATACAATATGAACATCAATTAAACATTTCCATGGTAAATTTTCATGCCATAGCTTTTTTCAGATACTAACAATGACTGTATATGTAGTAGACATTAGAGATTCATTTTCATCAAAGTTAGTATTGCTTAGGACACCTGCAGCTCTTATAACATATACTTGTTACATAATCGATTTTTCATTGTTTGAAAGTAATAATACATGTGAGAAAGATGTTATTTCATTTGTTGATAATATGAAAAATAATATTGATTATGAAATTTTAAAATGTTTGTTAACTGTTTTATTTTCATATCAATCACATTACTAAAAAAAAATATAAGCTAAAATCATTGGATTATAACGTAACTGAACTATTCATAATGATTTCGTAGGTTTTCTAATTGGTTTTATTATTAAAGTTAAAGGTACTTTATAGTTATAAAAGACAAAGATAACATAAATTTATCAGTAGTGCTGATAGCAGTATAGTTAGATTTCTTCCTCTTACAACATCCTGGATAGCCCCTGTTCTGAGCAACAATTTCTCAAAATATGAATCTTTTTCAATGTTTAACACAACTTGAAGGAAGCATGAATCATATGGATGAAAAAATGTTTACATACATATTCTATATAACAAGCTTTGACATTTCTTCATTTTGTTTTATGTTAACAAACATTGTATTGTTCAAATATTTATTGGTTTTTCACATATTTTGAAAAATAATTTTATTTCAAACAATGAAAGAATTATTCAAATGAAATATACAGGATGTAGGCCTATAGATGAAACTAGTTGTTTTTTAAATATTTTATTGTTGATTTTATTTGAGTGATAGTTTTTTATAAATTTTTGTAAAAACAAGCAAAAGTGTCCATCCCCAGTGATGCGAAAAAGTTTACTTTAATCTCTCAATTTAAATTATTGTATGGACTTTAAAAAGTTTAATTGTGTTGCACTCTTAGTTTCCCTCTGAGCCACAGCTCTAAACTACTTGTAACACCCACTGTGAAAAGTAATTGTTGAGCATTTCAGTCATGCTAGGAGCTGCTCATCAATAACATATGGTAAAGCTACATTTTTATTCTTTAAGTTACATCACATCTTGAAATGTGAATGATAGTATGATTAATTTCTAACAATTTAGTGTAGAATATCCTACTCATGAAATAAAATTTGGCATCAGCATTTTTCATGCCTGTTCTCCCATCATTTCAAAAGTGAATGTTGAGCTTTGCTTGTGAGCACAGCTTTTTAAACACAACATAGGGGACAGATGAATGCTCATAGACACCACGGTTTGCATTATATATGAAATTTGTTGTTTGAAAATGTCACAAAATGTTTATTTTTATTTCAAAAAATTTAGTTCTTTCAATACAGTAGTCTTGTCGAAATTTGTAGAGAGAAACTTGTAGAACACTAAGTCATATTATTTTCATGTTATTACAGGTTTAGTACTAGTTTGCACATATGTTTTCATGTACAACAGTTAAGGATGAACAAAATAACTTACTCCCAAATTAGTGTACCTAAAGACAGATTTCCTTTAGCTATTCTTATACTTTCACAACAAATTAAGCAAATTAATATATTATTCTAAGTATTTAAAGAATTTTAAGCCAAAATTATTTAAGAATCAATATTTTCTCAGTCTAACACTTATTTAGTGTAATCAATGATGAAAAAAAGTTCCTATTTTCATTTCTGCACAGCTGCAGAGTTTTAACTGTAAATAAAACAACATAATTGTCGATTTTTTAAAAATGTTTTTTACCCATCCCAATAAGTAACATTATTTCTACTAAGAATTTATCACCCCTTGAAAATATATTATCCATTTTCTGATTTTGAATGTTTCACTTTGTTTTTTAATTTTGTAGTGGTGGCATTTTATGTGTTATAAGTTGAAACTGAAAACCAGAAGTCCTAACTATAGTAAGGTTTTTTAACTAAGGGTGGTACAAAAAAACTGGAAATGATTATTCAGTTTACATTAAAGTGCCCATTTTCCCAACTCTGGTCCATTAGTAAGTTTGTTTTGTAATTGCATATAAAATATTAGCTGCTCTTACATAGCTTTAATATATATATATAGAACTATCCTTTGTACATGTTATGACTCCCATAATAGAAGTTAGTGTACAGAGAATATACAGTATATTAGAATATGTGATACATTAGTATATCCTTGCATAATTAAAAGTGAAAACTCCAAAAAAAAGTTTTTAAAGTATCTACATAAAACTAAAAATGAAAACCACAAAAAATATTTAATTATCTACATGAAATTATAAAAATAGCTAAAAATAAATAACGATTAAAAAACACAGAACTTTAACTATAGTACCACATCAATTGGTTTAATCATTTATTAATAAATTGTAATTTTGAAACTGGCTATAAAGGAAGTTTGTATATGATTGCAAAGAGTAAGAATTAAGTATCACGTGTTGATAGAGTAAATATGTAGGTTTAAGAGGTTTTTTTTAAAGTTTTTTAAACATTCCTTTCATTGTGAATTTTGAAAGTGCTTGCCTTAAATTATGTCTGTTTGAAAGCTACAGAAATTGTCTTCAATGAAAAACAGAACTTGAGATAAGGTAAGTAAGTTTAGAGAGGAGTTAAATGGATAAGAAAGAAAACACGGTAACAAATTTACAATGATTGGAGAAGGTTTTAACATCAAGTTAAAGTAGTTTACCTATTTTACACTTATCCTATTCCAACAATGTATGTAAATAAATTACTATTTAACTGGCTACTTAATTATTTATAATTATAATGACATGTTTTAAATAAAAACATTTTAACAAAAAAAAATTTTTTTTTAAATATGCAAATAGCCACCTTCAGAAGTAGTTAGTAATATGAAATCAATGGTAATTTGAAAATTACATAAAAAAACAAAAGAAAATAGGAAAATTAATACCACTTTTATAATAATGCATTGGATGAAAATTTAAGGATAATTCAAAAATTAGAAAAGTTAATACCATAGTAGAATAATGCAGTGTCTGAAAAAGCTTGCTTGCACGTGTTGTGTACCAATTGATTAATGAGCTCACAGATTAAATAATTATCAAATACTACTAGTTGCCCATCTCTGTTGCTTAGTATTTTAACCAAAGAAGAATATGTGGGATATTCATTCAAGATAGGAGCTGTGTGACAAATTGAATTATATAAGAAATATAGAAAATTACTTTTATTTGTTTTTCAGGATGATCAGTTTTAAGATACATTTAAAGGGCAAAATTATACTTGTAAACACTTGTTATAATTGTATTCTGTCATTTCCTTTAGCACTGTAACAAGATTTATGCAAGAACACCAAATTTAGACTTGATAAGTAATATTTCATTACTGTATGCCATACCAGATAGCTATGGTCATGGATGATTTGCCAGTACTTTCTTTGAAGGTAGTTTGTGTTTGAAAATCATAAGATCATTTAGATCACAGTATCTTCTCATTTTTGAAAGTGTATAAAGTATATATTGCTGAGTACATCACAAAACTCTTAGTTAGATTCAAAACATATCCATTATTATTGAAAGTTTTGGTGATTGATGTAATTGTCAACTTTAATTGTATCTGTATGTACCAGTTTTATCTTCATGGCATAAACAAGAAAATGGAATACCATAAAAGACATTAGATAGTCATGTGGCCTAGTGGTTAGCCTGCTGGACTGTTAATCTGAGGGCTCGTGGTGTGAAACCCTGTTGTCATAAATATGTACTCCACATTCTGGGGCTGCAGGTTCACTATAAGCAAAATGGTCAAATCCCACTCTTTGGTTAGAGTAGCCCAAGAGTTGACAGTGGGTACTGTTGATTAGTTGCATTTCCTATAGTCTGTTGGTTCAAATTTAGGAAAACGTTAGTGCAAAAATATTTTTCTTTAACGTTTTTGGAAATATCTGAAACTTTTTTATTTTTTGTGAATTAATTAAAATCTGCAAAGCTAGACATCTTCTCATCACATCATACAAAAATATATTAGATCTGTTCTTTCAAGTAATTTAAGTAAGTATTTATGTATTTTATTAGGTGTTGTAGAATGTACAGTTCTATATGTGCTGACTGGAAAGTTAAACTGATTTATATGATTGATTGACTAGCTTTGCTCATATTTTTTTAAGTGTGAAATATAAATGTATTTGGAACTAAAAGTAAAACAAAATCTATAACAAGGTACAGTTATTATTTTTAATTTGTTTATATCCTTATAAAATGTAATGTAATTGTTTCATCTATTAAAAAAATTGGTGCATATGGCTTTTTCACACAAAAAATGGTTGGTCCTCAAATAATACTTAATTCATCACATGCAGACTAAAAACATTGGAAAGTTTAATCTTAAATGCTATTAATTTGTTTTTCTTGATGGGGCTTTAAGTTTAGTATTTTTGACATGTACCCCAGGGTGTTAAATCTAGGTATTAAGCTTTTTTCATCTGTTTGAGAAAACATCTATTTTTAATAAAAGGAGATATTGATTATTTGTTAAGACTCGTATCTCTGCAGTGGGAAAATGATTCAAGTACAAAAAACAAGGAACATATTAAGTCCTAAATCTGCACTAAAAGGACTTGCTGTAGGAAGCTTGCAGATTACTCAAAGATAAAAAGAACATCTTCAAGAAATATATCCACACTAAAATTTACAGGAAACAGATTTTTTATCTTAATGAAAATAAATTTGTTAACCTAAAATAAGTAAGACAGATTAAATGTAATATTACTTAAATCCCCCCAAAAAAAATAAAAATAAAGGGTAATGAGGTTTTCATTTGGTTTTTCAAAATTCGAGGTAAAAAACAGACATTGATATTGATGAAACTTGTTTATTACAAATGTCACAATATTAAGCAAATAAAGAAATTCATGTACAAATAAAAATTTCAGTATTTGGCTGCGCATATATCAAATAAAAAAAATAACTTAAGATGAACACACTTAATAAAATGATCATTAGTAGCTGGTAGATTCTCTGACTTCTCTTCACATGTTTCCTGTAATGGGGCAACACTTCACTTATGGATGAGGGCAGCTCTGACCTCCTGGACAGTTGTATGAGCTGATTGTTTGTCTCTTCTGTTCTCCACACATGCTCAATCATTTATAGATCTGATGAGTTAGCAGACTAGTCCAGTACCATTTTTCCTTCATCCCTAAAGCTCATTCATAAGGCTCCCAGTGTTGCTGGTGCAGTTTGGCTAACTTCTACAGATATTGGTCATATACTGCACCTGTAGACTAGCCTAGCCTCCTGGTATATTCTTCTATGGCCTGGTATCTGCATCACTATCTACTGACCACAGATTGTGACACTTCCATGACCTGTGCCACCTCAGTCTGGGTGCAGTCTTCCTGTAGCAATGTGACAGCTCTGCAAACTTCATATTCAGTTAATTGGTTTCTAACAGCTTGTACACATTGCAAAAGTCAATACCAGCAAATAAATCCATAAACTTTGCATTATCTCAACAGTAAAAAATTTTTTAATCAATTAAAACTAGCCTTTTGCTTTGTAGACTTTAGGTCATTTCTCACAAAGTCATTATGTAAGGAGTCATTGGTGCATAAACTTCCAAACCCCAGGTTGTAATCCTCTACAACAAGCATGCTAAATTTGAAAGAAAAGATTGATAACCCAAAAATATTAACAAATTTAAACAATTATCTCATTATCCTTTAATTTTTGTTAATAGTGTATATTCTTGCTACTTAATTTTGGGTAATTCTTCAAAAACTTGCCCAAAATGTTCTAATATTTTATTACTTTTCAGTATTGCCTCGGAAATCAATATTTGAAAAACCCTCCAAGTATAAATAATTTTTAGTTATTCATTTTAGGCCTCAAGTGAGTTTTAATTATGTGCAATAAATTGTTTCCAGCTTTTCCCACCATTTTATCCACCTACTGTGCTTCAAGCCTGGACACCAGCTAATTCTGCATGCTTGGACTTAGGAACTGTAAGTTTTAGCATGTTTGTATTTCAAACCTAGTTCTTCATACATCTAAAAAAGATCACTATATGTTTAAAAACTTATGAATTTTACTTCTTATAAAAAATTTAAATAGTAAATATGTCTTCAATAATTAGGTACTTTTATAAGATTGTTATTCAGTAGAGATTAAAAATGCATAGCAAGCTGGACTGTGCATTGAGAGGTGTATATATATGGTTATAATAGTATTCAAAAGAACTTTAGTATACTGTAACAGGGTTCATACTGTTGAAATCTTAATCCTTGAAACTACATTTTTTTGTATTTTGTAAAGTACATTATTTATTTCTTTTTTCCTTAACTATGACCTTGAAAACAAAGTATATATTTCTTTGACAAAGGGGAAAGTTCTTAAAAATATATCCTGGTAAAAGTGAACAATTGACGATTTCCAATATGAAAACAATGTTACTCATAAGCATAAACTGATTCATAAAGTTCAGTCTACAGTAAAAATCTTTTACATAATGTTTGAAATTCAAGAATTAGAAATGTTTTGTCCAATATTGTGTAGAAAAATTTTTAATGTTAAGAAATGATCAGTTTTATAAGGCAGCAGTGTTGAACAGTATGCTTTAAAGCATTTTAATTATCAAAATTGTATTTACATTAGTGATTAACCACTGGTGATCACTAGTATGCATTTAGTCTTTATAATAACAGAGCAAATGTAAAATTTATTACTGTTTTTTAAAATTTTCAGTGCTGACTGAAGGATAGAAACCATTATTTAATGAAGACAACAAACAACTTCAGAAAAATGTATAATTACTTGTAACCTAACTGACGTTTCGGTTTATGCCTTTATCAAAGGTCTATGAACATCACAAGTACAAGTAATTAAACATTTTTCTGAAGTAGTTTGTTGTCTTCATTAAATAATTAAATAAATATAAAATTTCTTTGATTTTTTTCTTTCTTTCCATGTTAACACTGGTTTGTGTGAGCTAATAACACCTGCAGTTGTAGAAGAGGATAGAAGAGAAAATTCAATCAAACCTATTTTTACTTATTTATTTTATTTTTTACCAGAAGACTAACTAAACAGGTAGCATCTAAAATTACTCCAATACCTCAAGATTTTGGTTTTTTTTTTTTTTTACTTTTGGCAGTTAGAGCTGAGCATTTAGTAATACTTGTTAATTCATTAAACAAAGGCCCCATTAATCAATTAGTAGAATGTTCCTCAAGCTATGGTACATACAAATAATAATATAAGAAAGGTTAATGGCAGATGATGCCATCAGTCACCTTCCATCTAGTCCGCAATGAAAAAATATCAACAGTTGCAAACAGCATTGATAGCTTTGCTGCAACAAAGACAGTAAGCAACTTTTATGACAATGGGAATCAAGCCCAAAACTCTTGAATCCTGAGTCCTCTGCCCCACTCCCCCAAACCACCATAGCTCAACAAACTCAACAAATAACTGTGTAGTTTTGTGCTTAACACTCACTATGGGATCAGTCGAATTGGCAGAGTTCATCACAATAAATTGACATTTATAGTTTCCATACTACAACTTCTAATATGTTTTGATATCTTCACAAAATTTGCAAGCTTTCAGTTAGCATTAAGTCTTTTATAAATGAAAAATCAGAATTTTTAAGTTCATATATTCATGAAGAAATTTTTAGTGAAAATACTGAGTCAGTGTTGACTGCTGTGAGTGGAAAGTAGTTTTCATATTAAGATTAAAAATAATTTTCTTCACCTGAAAATTGTCAAATTTCATTTGCATAATCTCCAAAATAAATTTTAATGTTTTTTTTTTTCAGAAAAACTTTTATTTTTGTTATTTTCCTTACTTTAACTCCATACATATTCAGTAAATTTGACCGACCTCATAACCACTATGAAAATAAATCTAAATTACTTCTTTTCTTTGTAGAATGACTTCAAATTGTAACATGAAACTACATTTATTTATCCTAAATAGCTTAAAATGTTTAACAGCATACATCTGTTTCCAATTAAATTTTATTTTATTGCCATTTGAACCATGTCTAACTAATAACCCTGCCACACAAATTGTAATTTACATGATAAAGGTGTAGCTCATGTTATCCTATCAAATTACGTAAGGCACAGACTACTCGCAACTTTGAAATAGTTTTATTATTTTTTCTTTACCTTACCTAATCTAATGATATGTAACTTAAAGAATTTATAAATTTTCCTTTTAGTTAGTTTTATAATAATAAATAAAGAATACAAATGAAAACGAAATATAGTACATAACCTGTCAATTAAATTTAACTACCTTTTTTATACTAATGATACTACTTCACTAAGTAATTTTTTATTTAATTAAATAATGTACCTAAGAACTTGTAAAAAGCAGACAAAGTCCTCTATCCTTTTTTTTGCTTTCTAACTATTCAATAAGAGGTGTTAAAAATTCAGCTAAACTTGTTTGAGTTTCCAGTTGGAATACAGTTTGAACTTAAAGGAAAATAGACAATTCTCTTTACAGAAAACAATGTAATATAATATGTCACTTGATAGATCTAAACTTTGGCTTTCTATTGGTTATAAATAACACAGTAATAAATGTTAGAGAACTATTGGCAATTTGTGAAAGAGATGATGTGACAAGATGGGTCTGATTTTTTAGTATATGACTCTGTAACCAAATAAGATTGAAGGCTATAAAACTTATGTTTTGTCTGAGTGATAACAATATTATAATGAATAATTTGTGTTAAATTACATACTTCTCAGAGCGGTGGTTAATAAACTAGAGAAGGAAGAGCTAGAGAGGAAATGTCACAATTCTCATACTAGGGAAAATTGAGATTTTTTAAAAATATTATCTTATAAAATTAAGAACTTAAATCTTGTATTAAAATTTTACTTATTTTTAAAATTATTATTAAAATTTTGATACCAAGTTTATTCATATACCATGATAATAAAGCAGTTTAAATTTTCAATGTAAATCAGTAAAACCTCATGGCGTGAGTAGAAAAGGATGCTCGTATAGAAAGAGTTAATAACAAATCAACATAATAGCAGTATTTTGATTACTTGGAATAATCAAACTCTAATGTAGGTTAGCTGATTATTTTTGTGGCAGTTGGTTTAATTGTAATTTAATTTAATAGATTGATGGAATAATTGAAAATAGTAATAATCATAAACACAAATTTTGTGTAATCAATCTAATTGTAGTTTTGATAAATTGATTAGTTTACATGACACTAATCATTGTAATTACTGCTTATAAGTAATTGATTATATTGATTAATTAAATTGAGATTTGCTGTCCATAGAATACTCAATAGGAAAAAATCAAATATAACTTTAGTAAAGCTGCCTGTAACTGTATTCACTGAGAAAATCCAAAATCTATTTGTTTTAGACTTAAGGCATAATGTATAATTTAGATAGGTGTAAATCTGTGTTCATAATTATTTTCATATTATATACTAGAATAATTTGCTTCAGATGTATAATTGTAACATTAACCTGTAAAGCTGATTAGAAACACATTGATGATGCTTTTGTACATTTCATTAAAATTAAATGTTTTTATATAATAAATATTGATTGTGTTTAGAGTTTGTAGGTACTATATTTGTCCATTGCTGAAATCTTGTACTTCTGAACTGGAACATTATAAGCTTCATACCTTTGATACATGAAAAAAATAAACTGAAGCCTATTATTAGAGGACAAATCACCATGATATTTATATATGCTATTAGAATGCTATTTTACAAAATATGGTGTGTGTGGATATAGATATGTTAATATTGGATTCCTGACATTGTACTTTTTCTGAGATGTAGTCTATAGTAATAGTAAGTAATTTTATGTAAACTTCTGCTGCATTATAGATCTATATGTAACGTATATGTGTGCATGTAGGTAATATATTAAGTGTTATGTATTTGTATACTTTGGTTTAATGTATAAGAATTCTTTATGACAGAAAGATCCATTTACCAGAATACTTTGAAATGTCTTTAATTTTAACAAAAAAATCACTGAAGTAGGATGATAATACATATGTATTTATTTAAATGAACCCAAACAAGTAAGCTAAAATGAAGTGTAAAAATTTGCATTGAGTGGGTAGTTTCAAACTAATTGTTTAATTTAAGCTCTGTCAGAATTACATGTTCAAATTATGCCTATATTTTTAGGGATTTCATTTTACCACTGCTATTTAGTGAAGTACTGAACTGTCTAACGAACTGGTATAACTAATGTTACTAAATAACATATAACTAACGTAAACTTCGAATCATTTAACACTATTATCAGTACGTGAAATGTAACCAACAGGTTCCAAAGATGGAACAACACTATTTTCAGTAACAATGATTTGATCAATAAGGATTTCATGAGAAAAGTGAAGGTAAGCGTATATTTAGTAGCCCCCAAACCCACTGGCAAAGTTTCCTTTTAGGCCAAGGCCTACTTGCATGTCTGCTTTTTAGTTTAGGTTTTCTGTATGTCAATTTAGTAAATTAAATTTTTGGATAGTATTATTTGTTTTTCTGGATTTATAAAACATTTTAATGGTAAAGGTATTCCAATTTTACATTTTATTGTGCTTAACCCTTTCACTATGGGCATTTTTTTTCTGCGCATGTCATTTTGTTTTAGTGAGTTACATTAAAAGATTTAATTAAACTACTGTCTTATCATAGTATACAAATACATGGAAATGTAGCTAATAATTCAAATTTTCATACTATATAAGTTTCAAGTTCTTACTTTTACATGACAATATAAAAAACAAAATTCTGAACTTCCCCTGGTATGAGAATTTACATTTCCTCTCTAGACATTCCTTTTTCTCTAATTTATTTACCACACCTCCAAGAAGTATGAAATTTAATGTAAATTACTTATTATAATGTTGTCATTGCTCAGACAAAACAAGATTTTTATAGCCTGTAATCTTGTTTGATTATAGAGCCAACAAATAGAAAATCATATCCCTCTTGCAATGTCCACCTGTCACATCCTCTCTTTCAGAAGTTGTCATTAGTTCTCTCTGAAGTTGAATACTATATTATGTATATCCAATAAAAAGCCAACGTTTTAGTCTATCAAATGATGTATTATATTCCATTGTTTCTTGTAGAGAAATTCTGAATTATACTTGAACTTCAGATTCTATTTCCATGGGGAAACACATC